CTCCTGACATTTCGCCTGCATCTATGGTAAGCATCCTCAGAGGTAGTGAAGTCACTACCTCTGAGGACCTCACTACCTCTGAGGATGCTTGCCATAGATGCAGGCGAAACGTCAGGAGAAAATGCTTCTAGAACATGGCCATATAGCCCAAAAAAACCTACAACAACCCAGTGATTCTGGCCATGAAAGCCTACGACAAAACATTAAGATACTATTTTATTTTATTTTTGCAAAAGTAGTTCATTGTTTTGTCCAAGGCTTTCATGGCTGGAGATYACAACAACAACAACAACAACAACATTATGTCCTGCTTTTTATCTGTCAACCAAGATGCTATTTTATTTTAMTTTTGCAAAAGCAGTTCATTGTTTTGTCAAAGGCTTTCATGGCCTGAATCACTGGGTTGCTGTGAGTTTTCCAGGCTGTCTGGCCATGTTCCAGAAGCATTCTCTCCTGACATTTGGCCCACAACTATGGCAGGCATCCTCAGAGGTTGTGAGGTCTGTTGGAAACTAGAACAAGCAAGGTTTATATATCTGTGGAATAATGTCCAGGGTGGGAGAAAGAACTCTTGTCTGTTGGAGGCAAGTGTGGATGTTTAAACTGGCCACCTTGATTAGCATTTAATGGCTGCTTTCTGCCTGAGGGAATCCTTTGTTGGGAGGTGTTAGTTGGTCCTGATTGTTTCATGTCAGGGATTCCCATAGACACAGAATATTACTGGGGAAAGAGAGGATTTAACATACTATCTGTTACATTGCCCATTGTATAATGACCCTTGAAGGGCAGCATGGCAACAGTCAGCCGTTATCTGTGACTTATTAGCAGATTATTCCAAAAAGATAACATTAAAGGTTGCCACATTTACAGTTGCAGCCCAAAAAAATCCAAGCCTTAGTTAAGTCCAGAGCAGAAGCTAGAAATGGAAATGGAGATATTTTGGGATGATACAAATCAGACATTTGTAATTGTTGTCATGTCACTACTGCTGTAATTTTTAAAAAGCCAGTATATGGAACATGTTTTAATGTTTATATTGGAAAGTGGGGAACGCAGAAATGCTGGACCACTCTAACAACCAGCATGTCAGAATACACAGAAAAGCCACTGAAATCGGAACTGTGGCGCAGCTGGATGGGAGTCAGCTGCATTAAGATCACTACTGACCGAAGGGTCATGAGTTCGAAGCCAGCCGGGTCGGAGTGAGCTTCCAACCAATTGTGTAGCTTGTTGTCGACCTTTGCAGCCCGAAACACAGTTGCATCTGTCAAGTAGGAAATTAAGGTACCACTTATGTGGGGAGGCTAATTTAACTAATTTACGAGGCCATAATAATCTCCAGCAAGCATGCAAAGAATGAGGAAGTACTTCATCAGTGTCACAAATGGACGGTGAAGTGACAGCTCCCCTGGTGGACAGAATACCTTCATGAAAAAGCTGGATTGTTAAATAGCCTCTGAGTGTCTGTCTATATATGTTGTGTGTCTATGGCATTGAATGTTTGTCATGTATATGTACATTATATTCCGCCCTGAGTCCCCTGCGGGGAGAGAAGGGCGGGATATAAATCCTGTAAATAATAAAGATAAATCCACAAGCATGTGGACAATTTCAACAGAAAGGAGGAAACCGTGAAAATGAACAAAATATGGCTACCAGTATTCAAAATACTCCAAAATCAGGACAGTAAGTAAGAAAAACATTCAGAAAACAAGAGAATTCCAGGAATAAATAAGGGCCAACAAGTTAAACATGAGCCAACAATGTGATGTGGCGGCAAAAAAAGCCAATGGGATTTTGGCCTGCATCAATAGGAGCATAGTGTCTAGATCTAGGGAAGTCATGCTACCCCTCTATTCCGCTTTGGTTAGACCACACCTGGAATATTGTGTCCAATTCTGGGCACCACAATTCAAGAGAGATATTGACAAGCTGGAATGTGTCCAGAGGAGGGTGACTAAAATGATCAAGGGTCTGGAGAACAAGCCCTATGAGGAGCGGCTTAAGGAGCTGGGCATGTTTAGCCTGAAGAAGAGAAGGCTGAGAGGAGATATGATAGCCATGTATAAATATGTGAGAGGAAGTCCTAGGGAGGAGGGAGCAAGCTTGTTTTCTGCTTCCCTGGAGACTAGGACGCAATGGAACAATGGCTTCAAACTACAAGAGGAGATTCCATCTGAACGAGGAAGAACTTCCTGACTGTGAGAGCCGTTCAGCAGTGGAACTCTCTGCCCCGGAGTGTGGTGGAGGCTCCTTCTTTGGAAGCTTTTAAACAGAGGCTGGATGGTCATCTGTCAGGGGTGATTTGAATGCAATATTCCTGCTTCTTGGCAGGGGTTGGACTGGATGGCCCATGAGGTCTCTTCCAACTCTTTGATTCTATGATTCTAACTCACACCTCCTAACAAAGGATTCCCCCAGGCAGTAACAGCCAAGCTTTGAAGCTGCAAGGCAATTCAATGCTAATCAAGATGGCCAATTGCAACATTCACGCTGGCCTCAAACGGTTCTTCGTCCCACCCTGGACATAATTCCAAAGATACAGTAGAGTCTCGCTTATCCAACATAAACAGGCCGGGAAAATGTTGGATTATAAGGAAGGATTTAGGAAAAAGCCTATTAAAAGTCAAATTACGATATGATTTTACAAATTAAGCACCAAAACATCATGTTTTACAAAAAATCGACAGAAAAAGCCGTTCAATATATGGTAACATTATGTAGTCATTGCTGTATTTAGGAATTTAGCATCAAAACATCACAATGTATTGAAATAGTTGTGGATCTGGCCGGAAGGCAGAACATGTTGCAGAATACAGAATACAGAACGTTGGATGAGCGAAGGTTGGATAAGCGAGACTCTACTCTACTTGCCTAGTTTCCAACAGACCTCACAACCTCTGAGGATGCCTGCCATAGATGTAGGAGAAATGTCAGGAGAGAATGCTTCTGGAACACGGCTATGCAGCCTGGAAAACTCACAGCAACCCAGTGATTCCAGCCATGAAAGCTCATTCTTGTTAGATCACCACTAGAGGGCAGCAAACCATTGTAAATCAATAGGAGACCAGCAAGTTGGAAGATGAAGTTGGATTCAGGCTACTGTAGCTTAAATACCCCATAGGCACTGAGAGAATGTCTGCCTATGAATCTCTAGCTTCTATTGAAAGACAATAAGCGAGTAGGAAGTTGTTTTTAAAGAAGCAGGAAAAGCCATATTACGCAACAGGAAAACAGGCCACTTCCTGTTTCCAAATACATCCTTCCCTCAAAAGCATAACAAAACAATAGGTTCTACAGGTGCATCTACACTGTCAAATTGATGCAGTTTGAAACCACTCCAAACTGTTGTGGCTCAATGCGATGGAATCCTGGTAGTCTTAGTATTCTATAGCACTGAGTCGCGGCAGTTCAAGCGGGGTCATGAAACTGCATTAATTCGACAGTGTAGATTAGCATTTCTCAACCTGGGGGTCAGGACCCCTGGGGGGGATGTCAAAGGGGGTCACCAAAAATCATCACAAAACACAGTATCTTCTGTTGGTCATGGGGGTTCTGTGTAGGAAGTTTGGTCCAATTCTATTGCTGGTGGGGTTCAGAATGCTCTTTGATTGCAGGTAAACTATAAATCCCAGCAACTGCAACTCTCAAATATCAAGTCTATTTCCCCAAATTCAACCAGTGTTCACATTTGGGCATATTGTGTATTCGTGCCATGTTTGGTCCAGATCCATCATTGTTGGAGTCCACACTGCGCTCTGGATGTAGGTGAACTACAACTCCAAAACTCAAGATAAATGCCTACCGACCCTTCCAGTATTTTCTGTTGCTCATGGGCCTTCTGTGTGCCAAATCAATTCCATCGTTGGTGGAGTTCAGAATGCTCTTTGAATGTGGGTGAACTATAAATCCCAAAAACTACAACTCTCAAATGTCAATGTCTATTTTCCCCAAACTTAACCAGTGTTCACATTGGGGCATAATGAGTATTTGTGTCAAGTTTGGTCCAGAACCATCATTTTTTGAGTCCACAGTGCTCTCTGGATGTAGGTGAACTACAACTCCCAAACTCAAGATCAATGCCCACCAACCCTTCCAGTGCCAAGTTTGGTTCAATTCCATCGTTGGTGGAGTTCAAAATGCTCTTTGATTGTTAGTGAACTATAAATCCCAGAAACTACAACTCTCAAATGTCAAGGTCTATTTTCCCCAAACTCAACCAGTGTTCACATTTGGGCATAATGAGTATTTGTGTCAGGTTTGGTCCAGAGCCATCATTTTTTGAGTCCACAGTGCTCCCTGGATGTAGGTGAACTACAAATTGAAAATTCAAGGTCAATGCCCACCAAAACCTTCCAATATTTTCTGTTGGTCGTGGGAGTTGTGTGTGCCAAAATTGGTTCAATTCCATCATTGGTGGAGTTCAGATTTCTCTTTGATTTTAGGTGAACTATAAATCCCAGCAACTACAACTCCCAAATGACAAAATCAATCTCCCCTCCCAGTATTCAAATGTGGACATATCGGGTATTTGAGCCAGTTTTGGTTCTGTGTGGGAAGTTTGGCCCAATTCTATTGTTGGTGGGGTTCAGAATGCTATTTGATTGCAGGTAAACTATAAATCCCAGTAACTTCAATTCCCAAATGACAAAATCAACCCACTTGCCCGCCCACCCCCAACCCCACCAGTTTTCACATTTGGATGTATTGAGTATGTGTGCCTAATTTGGTCCAGTGAATGAAAATACATCCTCCATATCAGATATTTAAATTAGAATTCATAACAGTAGCAACAAAAAATAGTATGATTGAGGGTCACTACAACATAAGGAACTGTATTTAGGAGTCGCGGCATTAGGAAGGTTGAGAACCACTGGTGTAGATGCACCATTCATGTCACCTAGAAGGTGCTCCACGACCTCTGTCTTTCTTTCCAAGGGAATTCGGTCACTTATTGCCTGCTTTTGCCTTAAATAAATGCACCATGCAAATACACCTACCTCCTTTCCGCAGTAGATAGATGGGGACGATGTACAGCATAATATGCTGGATGTAGTAAACCTCCACTTCAAAAGGTAGCTGCAGAAAGAAAGAAAACAAAAACTGTAAACAGTTTGCACAAACTATACAGTGTTTACTTTTGGAAAGGGGGAGAAATGGGAGAACACAAAAAGCAATTTATTTATTTACAGTATTTATATTCTGTATTGTTTTGTTTGCTTACTGCTTTGTTGTTCTACTGATGTGTTGTTGGGCTTGGCCTCATGTAAGCCACCCTGAGTCCCCCATTGGGGGAGATGGTGGCGGGGTATAAATAAAGTATTATTATTATTATTATTATTATTATTATTATTATTATTATTATATTCCGCCATTCTCACCCTGCAGGGAACTCAGAGCGGATTACAATGCACATATACATGGCAAACATTCAATGCCATTAGACATACAACATATATAGACAGACACAGAGGCAAATTTAACATTCCAGCTTTCCGGCTTCATGAGGGTACGCTCGGTTCTGGCCACAGGAGGAGTTGCCACTTCACCATCCACTTGTGACACCGAGTCCTTGATAGAGTACTTCCTCATTCTTACACATGCTGCTGGAAGGTTTTATGGTGTCATAAATTAGTTAACGGCACTCCATGCAGTCATGACAGATACATGACCTTGGAGGTGTCTATGGACAACGCCGGCTCTTCTGCTTAGAAATGGAGATGAGCACCACACCCCAGAGTCAGACATGACTGGACTTAATGTCAGGGGACAACCTTTACTTAAATTAGTTAAATTGGCCTCCCCATATAAAGCGGTACCTAAATTTCCCACTTGACAGATGCAACTGTCTTTCAGGCTGCATAGGTCAACAGCAAGCTAGACTATTAATGGTTGGGAGCTCACTCCGACCCGGGCTGGCTTCGAACTCATGTAGTGATTAAATGCAGGTGGCTATTAACTAGCTGCACCACAGCCCGGTCCTTGCCAAGAAAATGTCATAATAGCTGCATCGAATATTGGGAAATTATTACTAGGTTGGCAGGAGCTGAGGCTGACAGCGGGAGCTCACCCTGTCCCACAGATTTGAACGGTCAACCTTCAGGTCCATGCATTGAGCCACCGCAGCTAAAGTGGGGTCCAACTCCATTCATTCTACACTGTAGAACAGGGATGGGCAAACTCAGGCCAGATGCAGCCCCTTTGTCTCTTTTCTCAGGCCCTCCTCTCTCTCACCAGCCTATCTTTCCTTCCCTCTTTCCCTCCTCTTTCCTTCCCTCTTTCTCCTTCCCTTCCACCCTTTCATTGTTCCTTCTTTCTTTCCTTCCGCCTTCCCTTCCTTCCTTTCCTTCAGCAGGGAAGGCCAAAGACCTGGTAAAACTACAACTCCTTTGATTCTGTGCATTGAGCCGTGGCAACTAAAGTGGGGTCCAACTGCATTCATTCTCCAGTGTAGAATATCCATTTAGTGCCGGATCCAGTGGTAGGGCAAGCTTAAATGTGCTTGTTTGGTCAGCAAGTTCAGCGGCACAGTGGTTTAATCCACTGTGCCATCAAGGGGCTCCTATCTGAAGTTGACCAAAAACAGATTCTTAACACTTTTGGTACTAATGTTGGAGAGTGGTCCCTGGTCAAAGTGGTCCCTGGTCAAATAGTCCCTGGTCAAAGTGGTTCCTGATCAAGTGGTCCCTGGTCAAGTAGTCCCTGGTCAAAGTGGTCCCTGGTCAAATGGTCCCTGGTCAGTGGTTCCTGATCAAGTAGTCCCTGGTCAAAGTGGTCCCTGGTCAAGTAGTCTCTGGTTAAAGTGGTCCCTGGTCAAGTAGTCCTTGGTCAAAATGGTCCCTGGCCAAGTAGTCTTTGGTCAAGTAGTTCCTGGTCAAAGTGGTCCCTGGTCAGTGGTTCCTGGTCAAGTAATTCCTGGTCAAGTAGTCCCTGGTCAAAGTGGTCCCTGGTCAAAGTGGTTCCTGGTCAAGTAGTCCCTGATCAAAGTGGTTCCTGGTCAGTGGTTCCTGGTCAAGTAGTCCCTAGTCAAGTGGTCCCTGGTCAAAGTGGTCCCTGGTCAAAGTGGTTCCTGGTCAAGTAGTCCCTGGTCAAAGTGGTTCCTGGTCAAAGTGGTTCCTGGTCAAGTAGTCCCTGGTCAGGTGGCCCCTGGTCAAAGTGGTCCTGGTCAAAAAAAGGTTGGGAACCACTGATTTATGTAAAGGCTGCATCCAACCTAGCAACCTCATTCCTTGTGAAATAACATGGTTTTGATTCATTGCGTAGTCACTGGAGGAAAAACAATTCCCGACAATCTCAGACTTGCCACTGTCTGAAAAAAAACCCTCTTCATGATAGTAATGTTATGACAAAACCAAGGCTTGGAGGAGGGGATATGCACAATTAGTCTTTGCCAAACATAATTTAAACCACAAGGAGTAACACAGACCGGTATGCAAAAGGACAGGAGCTCCTGATAATGCAGCCGCCTCCAAAATTGCTTTTGACGCTGACTCAACCAAGATGTTGGCCAATCTGGAGCCCAACCCAGGGAAGAACTCATGGCTGGAGAATGTCGTGCTTGTTGGTATCTGCCATCAAGTCAACTCTGATTTATGAGAGGACGTATTGTCCTCTCATGATATGCCCAAAAAACGGCAATTTGGTCATCTTGGCTTCTAGGGAGAGTTCAGACTTGGCTTATTCTATTATTATTATTATTATTATTATTATTATTATTATTATTATTATTATTATTACTCAAGGTGACAGTCCATCAAAAGGGGTATGTAAGTAAGTAATCCGTGGAATTTTTCTCCTGCACCACGTCTCAAACGAACTATTAATAGACACCAATTAAGATCTGGAGCCTCCGCCCAGGATGTGCACTTGCTCAGAGAATGCCTGTCCCACCTGAAGTTATTCTAGGTATCTTGTTCAATATTGCAAAAGGTTTCCATTGCAAGAAAGCCTTCTAGCCGGGGATCTCCTTTCCATCTTGCATGTTCCATAGGCTTCAATAGCATCATAGAACCAGAGAGGATTCTATGATGCCATCTAGTCCAACCCCCTGCCATGCAGGAAGATTCAATCAAAGCCATTGTTCCGCATCCTAGTCTCCAGGGCAGCAGAAACAAGCTTGCTCCCTCCTCAATATGACTTTCCCTAACATATTTATACATGGCCCTCCTCATGTCTCCTCTCAGCCTTCTCTTCTGCAGGTCAAACATGCTCAGCTCTTTCATCCACTCCTCATAGGGCTTGTTCTCCAAACCCTTGATCCTTTGAGTCACTCTCCTCTGGATACATTCCAGCTTGTCAATATCTCTCTTCAATTGTGGTGCCCAGAAATGGACGCAGTGTGATTCCAGGTGTGGTCTGACCAAGGCGGCTTACAAGATATATATACATGCAATATATTATATTATTAGCATAGTACAATATCAGTATTAAATATTACTATATTGTACTATACCATTATATTGTAATATTATTAGTAATATTATATGTAATATAAATATATAATTATAATATCATATTATTAGTATTGTATTACATTATAAGATTATAAATATTATATGTATATACATTATATTTTATTATATTATATTACATTATTTAGAATAGCACAGGAGACAAGGTATATACTGTCTGTCTTTGTTAATTGTACAACGGCACTGAATGTTTGCCATATATGTGTACAGTACAGCCTGGGGATCACAACCAGATACAGTGAAGACATCCGCCCTTGCGCTGTGCTACTCTGCTGCTGAGTATGCATGCCCAGTGTGGAACACATCTCACCACACTAAAACAGTGGATGTGGCTCTTAATGAGACATGCCGCATTATCACGGGGTGTCTGCGCCCTAACACCACTGGAGAAATTACACTGTTTAGCCGGTATTGCACCACCTGACATCTGCCGGGAAGTAGCAGCCAATAGTGAAAGGACGAAGGCAGAGACATCTCCAGCTCATCCTCTGTTTGGGTATCAGCCAGCACGTCAACGACTTAAATCTAGAAATAGTTTTCTAAGATCTACAGAGACACTCGCTGGAACACCTCAGCAAGCGAGAGTCCAAAAGTGGCATGCTCAAACCCAGAACCTCAACCAAGAAATGTAATATAATTGACTGGTTAATCTGACATGACAAATAAATAAATTATTATTATTATTATTATTATTATTATTATTATTATTATTAAACTTTATTTGTACCCCGCTAGCATCTCCCGAAGGACTCGATGCAGCTTACAAAGGCCAAGGCCTTAACACAACAACAGCATAACAAAACAACTCAAAGCAAAATCAAAAACATAAGCAATAACAACAAAACATTCCACAATAACACAGTAAAAACTAGGGCCGGGCCAAGTACAGAATTAAAAAGTGCTGGGTGTGACAGGTGGTATGTTGGATTTCAGGGCAAGTGCAATGTGCAGAGAATCTTAAAATTCTAATAAAGTGCTTCTGGGACAAATGCTGAAGTTTTCCTATTCCAGAAAGGCACATCGGAATAGCCAGGTCTTCAAACTCTTCCTAAAGACCTCCAACGTGGGTGCTAGTCTGATATCTTTGGGGAGGGTGTTCCAAAGTCAGGGGGCAACCACAGAAAAGGCCCTGTCCCTCGTCCCCACCAAACATGCCTGCAACGCAGGTGGGATCGTGAGCAGGGCCTCTCCGGATGAACGAAGGGAGCGCGTGGGTTTGTAGACGGAGATGCGGTCACGCAGGCAGGCAGGTCCCAAACCGTTTAGGGCTTGGTTCTTGTGGGTTTTTTTGGGCTATAGAGCCATGTTCTAGAGGCATTTCTCCTGACGTTTCGCCTGCATCTATGGCAAGCATCCTCAGAGGTAGTGAGGTCTGTTGGAATTAGGACAATGGGTTTATATATCTGTGGAATGGCTGGGGTGGGGCAAAGAACTTCTCTCTGCTGGAGCTAGGTGTGAATGTTTCAACTGACTACCTTCATTAGCATTTGAAGGCCTGGCTGAGCCTGGGAAAATCTTTTGTTGAGCAGTGTTAAGATGTACCTGGTTGTTTCCTCTCTGCTGTTTTGCTGTTGTAATTTTTTAAAGTTTTTTTAATACTGGTAGCCA